AACCCTAAAAGTAACGACTTATTTATCCTATTATATCATTAACCTTAAAAGTAACGACTTATTTATCCTATTATATCATTAACCCTAAAAGTAACGACTTATTTATCCTATTATATCATTAACCTTAAAAGTAACGACTTATTTATCCTATTATATCATTAACCTAAAGTAACGACTTATTTATCCTATTATATCATTAACCTTAAAAGTAACGACTTATTTATCCTATTATATCATTAACCTTAAAAGTAACGACTTATTTATCCCATTATATCATTAACCTTAAAAGTAACGACTTATTTATCCAACGTTCGTTACTGGTTAGATCAACATTTTGCATTATATTAAGTAATTCTGTGATTTTGCCTGTTACAAAAATCAGTGTAAAGAACAACTGGGTGAAATCAGAATTATTTTTACACATAATACATAATAGGCCCCGAAAGTAAACAGTGGAGTCACTTACAAGATTGGTGGTATTTTTGTTTAAATTTTCAACGTATTTAAATGTGTGATTTATATATATTATTAAGTACTAATAAATATAACCAACATTTATGAACCTGCAAGAAATTTGGTGCATAAATAACGTAGAAAAATATGTTTGAAACGACCAAGGATGCTTTACTAGCCTATCGTTATCTTCTACAGAAATATCCAAGACTCAGCCAGATTATCCAACATTATAAACTGGCTGTACTATAAGATGTATGTTACTACAACACAGGTCTAGTCTTCAAGTATCCTATTTTGGTAGAAAATACTTTAGCACCCCCACCACCTCCTCTTGAATTATTCGGGAGTGTTAAGAATGACTAATATTCTCTTGTGGGAACTCAATAAAAACTACTAGAAGCACAATAAAGATTCGTCTTGACAACAATAGGGGGTGTGAAGAGGTATTCTTGCGTTGGCGATCGTGTAATTGATGTTAAGTCTGGGAGCTAGGCGACCTCTGAAATGTTAACAGCTTAACTAGCATCCCTAAACCGAGAAGATCAGCACCAAATCTGTCTGTCACATGACAGCTGGGCAATGAAATAGATAGACACCACTGATAGCAATTACGATGTGCCAGCAGTCCCAACATCACTCACTACTAGGATCTCGAATCTACCGTTAAATTCCTTTCGTTTAAAAGCAACCCATGAAGTGGAATCATAGAAGATTTATTTACTAGAAGGTTTCGGACATGAGCGTTAATTTAATCCTGTAGATATATACACATATCAACTGAATGAATAAAAAGGAGACTACTATATTTTGTTTTGTCAGATCACATTTCATTAGCCTTTTTACAAGTACAGCAACTTTTCACCATCAATGTTTAGACAGTGTCATATTGCAATATATTTCACATTATCGACTTATTCCACCGAATTTGTACTTGGGGTGTCAACGCCATCTGTTGTATCACTATGAATGTTTAGACAGTATCGTATAGCAATATATTTCACATTATCGACTTATTCCACCGAATTTGTACTTGGGGTGTCAACGCCATCTGTTGTATCACTATGAATGTTTAGACAGTATCGTATAGCAATATATTTCACATTATCGACTTATTCCACCGAATTTGTACTTGGGATGTCAACGCCATCTGTTGTATTTCCGTATACAATTTCTTCAGCCTCTAGTTAAAGAAAACCTAACTCAGACTTAGAGATTTCATCAGACGTATTTTTGTTTCTTTCTGTAAGGTTAAAACAATTAGATGGCTTCTTGCTTCTTGACTACTTCGATTGGTTAATGGAGCTTCGAATTAATGTACTTTAACCTCGAAATTTCTGTAAGGTGGAACTTTGCAAAACAAACTTGCAAAGGCTAAGCACATTATGTTAAAACAGATTTGGAGCCACACCACGTCGTTACAGTCCATGTCGCCATGTTCTAACAACTGATAACCGCGCATTCCTATACTGCTCACATTACACACCCGTTTTAATACAATGTACTCAACCTTCCGTTTAATGGAAGATCTTTGAAGCGGAAAATATTTCAGAATAAAAAAATTATTCCGCTACAAAGATCGTTTGCCGACTGCTCATTGTTCACATCTCGTCTACTTGTACACGTGCGGAGACTGTAAGGCCTCCTGTACTGGTGAAACCAAACGTTACCTTAAAGTACGAGCATGTGAACACATGGGCATATCTATAAAAACTGGAAGAAAGGTTACAAACCCTCCCAACTCCGCTATCTGTCAGCAAAATACAGAAACAGGACATCCAATTTCTCTCTCCAACTTTAAAATTCTTTCAACAACCAAGCATGATACTGAACTTCTTATAAAAGAAACATTATACATAAAAACTCTTCTCCCGTCCCTAAATAACACACAGTCTTTACTGGATTGAAACCTATTTTAACTATTTCACTTGTACCTCAGTTTTCATTTTTTAGTGTTATATTTGTATATTCGATTTGTTTATTTCTTATGAATATATTTCTGTTGTAATTAAAAATACAAACGTCTAACAAATAAATGCTTCTTGTTATTAACACTTGTTTATGTGATAAATTACCTGGTTTCATAACGTTAACAATCATCAGTTTGAAAATCCTTTTTTTGTCATTCACAGATTTGATATTTCTTGTGAACGATTTTGTTATTTTTTATGTTTTCTTTCTTCTAGAAGTGACTTAACTGTGTTCTATCTGATACACATGTGGATGATTGTTAATATGTCATTTCCTATTTGTTGTTTTTATGTTGCTATGTTTTTTTGCGGAGTGTCGCTGTATTCCACCCGACAGAACTGATTCTGTACAATGGTTTCAAAGTTAACATTTAATAAAATTAAACTGAATTAATTGCAACTTTCGATAATACCCGAAGAACTTTTATAACTGATTTTATAACAGTTAAATGCATGGTGAATATACTTGAAACAGTAATAACCAGTTTTATAAACAATGTTATTTAAGCCTATTCCATTTACCACCTTTGAGCTAACTAGAGAAACCTAACAAAGTATAAAAATTATGCATATTTCTTAGATTATATTCAAATCGACCATCCTATACATATTACAAAACAACAACTCACCTTCTCCATCTCGCAGTGCTTCTATTCTAGCCTCAGCTTTGGCCTTTCCTGTCTGGGACATTAAACACATGAAATCGTTAATGTAACACACACGTTTCTGGTATACTAATTTTTCGTTTTGAAGTACGGAAGAGACGAAAAGTTTTTAAACATTATTTTACACTGTTAAAAAAATACCTTTAACTTGTATACCAATATATATTTTTACTACATAACATTTCTCACAAATTCCATCTGGGTGACATATCCCATACACTTTGTCCAGACTATCTGTCCAAATTACCTGTATTGCATGATCCCAAGTTACCTGCCCCTCACGCTGCTTAGATTATCTTCCCAAACACACTGCTCAGGTTGCCTGTATCTCTCTACCTCACACTCTTCCCATGTTACCCGTCCTTCACAATTTGCCCATATTACCTGCCCCCCCCCACTGTCCAAGCTACCTGTTCCACATCCTCTACCCACATTACTTGTCCCTCACACACTTTCCATATTACCTGATCCCCCCACACTGCCCAGGCTACCTGTCCCACATACTCTGCTCACATTACTTGTCCCTCACTCACTTCCCATATTACCTGATCCCCCACACACACACTACCCAGGCTACCTGTCCCACATCCTCTACCCACATTACTTGTCCCTCACACACTGCCCATATTACCTGCCCCCCCACTGTCCAAGCTACCTGTTCCACATACTCTGCTCACATTACTTGTCCCTCACACACTTCCCATATTACCTGATCCCCCCACTGTCCAAGCTACCTGTCCCACATCCTCTACCCACATTACTTGTCCCTCACACATTGCCCATATTACCTGATCCCCCCACACACACTACCCAGGCTACCTGTCCCACATACTCTGCCCATATTACTTGTTGCTCACACACTGCCCATATTACCTGATCCCCCCACACACACTACCCAGGCTACCTGTCCCACATACTCTACCCACATTACTTGTCTATCACACACTGCCCATATTACCTGATCCCCCCACACACACT